GCCCAGGCTGAGGACATGGCAGTGGGAGGTCTGGGGACGAGGTGGTGTCCCCCAGGCCTGCCCAGGCTGAGGACGCGGTGGTGGGAGGTCTGGGGACGAGGTGGTGCCCGCAGCGCCTGCACAACGTTTTGGGGTGACAGATCAGTTCCTTTTCTTCTGCCAGTGAACACACATGAAGGCACACAGCAGACTTGGCACCGCCTGGGCGATCCCATGCCTTGTGACATGACAAGGGGCCACTGTCCTCCTGAGAACGGAACCTCCCCAAATGTTCACTTTCCACTCTGCTCCTGGCCCCGTAGGGCACCCCCAGCCCCTGTCTCCAGAGGTGCCAACTGAGCCTGAGAGAAGTTCTGAGTCTGGCTGTGTCCCAACCTGCACCCTGCCTGCCCCTGCCCGCTGCACTGCCCGGAGGGGCTGTGGCTCACCTTCCAGCCTCCAACGCGACAGAACCGGGCCGGGACTGACAGGCTCTCTTCCGGGGAAGGCTGGGGTATGACACTCAAGGATGTTTTAAATGTGGCATTTCATCATCTAATCTGTGAAGGGCTGCGTATGCAGGTTTCCAGAGTAACAATTTAGATGTCTTGTTTGGCATTAATATCTTGCAGCTCTTAAAGCCCTGGAAAAAATTGAATATTAGTCAGGTATTTAGTTGCTAAGAAACCGGTTGGAGGCAGGAGGCCCTGCTTAGGGCAGGCTGTGGCGGAGCTGTGACTGCAGAGGTGGGGAGGCCTGGGCCAAGCAGAGCAAAGCCCCTTCCCCCAGCACCAACGTGCGTTTTAAGCAAAGCGGGTCCCCAGTGCTTCTCCTGGTCCCAGCTCCACACCCGTCTCCTGAATAAAGGAACCCCAGCTGCCCGGGGCCTCAGCACACAGAGTCACCCTCATCCTTCCCTTGTCCCACGGGGCCTGGCTGCCATATGGGCCCCACATGACCTCATGTTGCCCATAGTTGTTGGACCACGGTGTGGACACATGATCCAAGTTGGGACAGATTCCGTGACCTGGGAATATGGACTAGGGTCTGAGAGGCCTTTGCAGGAATGTTTCTCCACAGCAACGGGACTCCAGAGCCCAGCGGCAACGTGGGGCCACTCCTGGAGTGGGCAGCGAAGGCCAGAGGGCAAAGCCAGCCCTGTGCCCAGAGCAGCCCTGGTGAGCGCCCTCCTGCCCCAGCCCTCCCCGGGAGGCAGAGTCCTCACCACCTACTGTCCCCTCCCAGCTTCACTAGCTCGAGCTATTTTCTATTTCTCGCAATGGAAAAATGTCCAGATTAATCCCCTTCTGTGTGTGGAGCCACGGGGAAGCACATGGACATCCCCCGCCTTCTCCCCGGGCTGCTGCTCTCCAGAGTCTCCATTCTCAACCGCCCCAAGAGCCTTCCAACCTGGGCCTGCAGCCCGCACACCACTTCCCTCCAGAGGTGCCTGAGATCCAGGTTAGTCCACTTCTGTCCTGGCAGCTGGCCGACTCCCGGCCTCCCCACCTGATCCCCCAGTGGATGAGGCTCATCTCACCACCGTCGGGTACCACCAGCTGCATTTGAAAAACGCAGCTGATGATAACTCAGGGTGTTTGGATGTTAAGGAGCAGTTTAATAAATACTGAGGGATAAATAGGCATGAATTCACTGTGATTTCCATCCTGCCTGCACTATTATGAGGACTGTGACCTTGGGCACATTATTTAATATTCTTAAGTCTCACTTTCTGCATCTGTCGTTGGGGAAAATAACTCTGTTTTCAGGGGTTACGTGAGGCAACCTGTTGTTTGGAAGGGAGTTCTGTCTTCCCGAGCTCGTATGCCACTGTCCTGAATGCGGGTGCTCCGTCGTGTGACCATCTTTGAGACGGTGCTTGCCAAATTGGAGGGAGGTCAGAAGGGATCCTCCAACTCCATATGACTGGGGTCCTTCATAAGAGGGGTGACTGGACACAGTCCTGCTGTGCCAGGAGAGGAAGTGGGTGACGTGCTGCTTCTACAAGCCAGAAAGTGCCCAGGGCGGCCAACGACACCAGTCAGCCTCCAGGGGACCCGCCCTGCAGACTGCTGGGTCTCAGACGCAGACAGGCTTCCAGAAACCAGAGGGTACAGACCTCGCCAGGCCCCTGATAGGAGAGGCAGGCCTACAGTGGCCTCAGGGTTCAAATGCATCTTGGCTGGAGACTTCCAGCCAACGGTTTCCCCAACAGGAATGACCTGGGGCCAGGTAGGGCCAACTGTCTTCCCCTGTGATCAGCCTTGATGAATCTCTGTCCCTTTGAGGCCTGCAGGGCCCCCATGAGTGCCCTGCCGTCCTGTCGGGCCCAGGCCAGATGCTCTGCCTGGCATCCTGTCAGGGCAGTGTCTGCTGGGGCAGCGGCAGCAGCCTGGACCAAGGCAGGTCTGACAGGGGCCACCCTTGCATCCTCCTCCCACCTCCATCCCTGTCCCTTGGGATGCCTGGGCTGGAGGAGGAGCAGGAGGACCCATGAGAGTCTGGGAGGCCTCGTCTGCCTTTCCCCTTCCCAGCCCGTGTGTGTGGGGGGGCGCCTCACCTTGCTGTCTTCAGCCTGCAGCCTGCAGGCCCCCGGAGGTCTCCCTCCTGGCAGCACATCAAATTGTGAGGAGTTAATGACGCTTCGTGAAATCGTTTCACATCCCCGAGAGCCAAAGCTGCCATTAGGAGGATGTCGCCATGGAGACGGGTAAACAAGGTGGTTTCTCCTAATGATCACTCTTTGATCAAGGACACTCTCTGGGGTGGGATCTCTGGGATCCTGCAGTTTGGCAGCAGGAAACACAGAGAATAAACTCAAACCCATCTGCCCCCCCAACCTCACAGGTGGCCCGTGGGCCAAGCAACTTTACCAACAGGGTTCAGAGTCAGAAGTCTAAGACATTCACCAGAAAGGATTCTCCAACTAGTGAAAGCGCAAAACAGGTTCGGCCATTTCAAGATTCTTCAATCTCCTGTTGATCCTAAATCATGACCTGTTTTGGTTGACTTTTTGGCAAGAAAAACAGTACTTTCCCTGAGTGGTGCTTCTCCTGCCACGGGGGAGCTCCGCGTGTGACAAAGTCTCCATGTGGTCTCCATTCACCAGACTGAGAGTTGTCCTTGCTCAGGGTGGCTGGCTGAGCAGTGGTCCAGGAGCCATGTCCTACTCCCATGTCACTGGACATGGCAACAGGGACTGTGCAGCCGAGCTTCAGGCAGGTCGTGGGATGAGGTGCTGTCCTGGGCCATGCAGAGGGGCCCTGTGCTGGCCAACTTTCCGTCTCTGACAAGAACAGTGTGGAGGAGGGTAAATGGACTTTGGGCTCATGGCTCCAGAGTCCAGTCTGTGGTCAGCCGACTCCAGAGCTCTGGGCTGAGGTAAGGCAGAGCATCCTGGCTGGAGGGTGTGGTGCAGGAAGGCTGCTCGGTTCATGTGACCAGGAAGCAGAGAGTGAGCAGGGAACCAGGGACAAACCCTGAGTCCCTAAGGGCTGGCCCAGTGACCTCCTTCCCCCAGCCACACCCACTGCCTACGGTTGCCACCCAGGAATTCATTCACATCATCATCCACCAAGTGGATTAGCCCACTCTACTGGTGGGGTCACAGCTCCCATAATCCAATCACGTCACCTCCGAACATTCCTGCATTAACTCGTGGCTCTTCAGGGGCACAAACACTTAAGCCACAACAGGCCCAGTGCAGACCTATGGGTCCATGAGGAGGGACGAGGTCAGAGCCAGAGACTCAAGGACCCTGCGTGGCCGGCTGTGAGGGGGAGGAAGGGGCCCAGGACTAGGGAGGACGAGAGCCGAGAGAAGCTGTGACAGGCCTGGAGATGGACCTCCCCGAGCCCCCAGAGGACGCAGCCCTGTGGCGCCTTGGTGTTGGACTTTGGACTTCAGAGCTGTAGGGCAAGGAACCCTGCCTCAGTGCTCTTTGTGGCCCATTGGGCCGAGGCAGGCTATGCACCTCTTTCTCAGAAGCACAGGACCCAAAGCTGTTGGTGTGTTGGCTACACAGCTGACCCCGTCCGTGTGCATCTGTCCTGTACATAGTCGCTGCACGGTAAGTACAAGTTGACTAGGATGCATCCTGCTAATGAGGTCAGAGTCTTCAAAGGAACCAGACTCCGGGTCTTTTGTAAGTTTTCTTACACCCAGATCAAAATTTAGTGAAGTCTAGAAGCAGAGAGCATCCCCTGCACAGTGCTACCCCCCTCCCCAGCGAAGTCAATCCTCCCCGGGCCTTGTCGCTGCCGCCCAGGACAGGGTGTGCTGGGCTGGGAGTGCTTTCCTGCAGGTCCTGGGCGAGCTGCTATCCTAAGCGCTTTCATTAAGGACATTCTTGAAGGTGTGCATTATCTCCCCAGGTAGCAAGTGCAGGCTGCGCTGAGAGGATTGCTGTGCTTAGCGCCAAGCCGGCCCCTTCGCTGAAGCCCTGAGTACCATTCAAAGCAGGTCCCGGGCTTGGAGCATCCTGAGTCTGTCTGCAATTTCCCACGGCTGTCAGTCAGGATGAGCTGGTGCCAGTGCCTTGGCATGGGGACAGTGACCTGCTTGGGGAGCCATGACAGCCCCAGCCACCACCGAAACACAGGGAGGTGCAGATGTCGCTGTGGTGGGGGATGGTCTAAACCCTGGACCTAGCTGTCAGTGACAAGGGAAGCGGTAGGAGGGTGAGTTGATGCCCAGTTCCTGGACACAGGCACCTGCTCCACTCTCAGCCATGACTGTCCTGCCTCCAGAGTGGGCATGGATGGCTGATGGACATGGCCCACTGCAGGGCACAAATACCAGGACCAGACAGACGGGCCAGCATGTGGTGTGGCCATTTCTCAGCCTTCAGTGATGGCTGCTTGAGGGTGTGGCCAGCACAGGGGTGGGCACGGTGGGCACGGTGGGCACGGTGCTGGCAGCGAAGGTCAGGAGGCTGACAGACCCTGGTGGTGTCATCATACCCTGGGGACCACCACAGCCTGTGTCCTCTTCACTTTCTTACATAGGTGGCCGGGCTACTGGGAAGCTGCTGAGCCAGGGATCAGGGCAGGGAGAACACACCACAAGCCTAGAAAAACTGAGAAGATACACAGGAGCCCACCCAGCAGAGTGTCCAGTGGTCAAAGCTGCTGTGACCCAGGACGAGGTGGCTTGCCAGAGGGGGCCTGGGCTGGAGGAGGGCTGGGGACAGAGCCTGTCACCCTGTCAACAGGGAGGGAAAGAAGCAGGCTGGCTCTAGAGCTCGCCTTGGCCCTTTGCAGTGGCCAGAACCTGAGGACGTTTATGGGGCACTTATTGGGGGACAAGAACCAGGCCCAGCACCTCTGCCTGAAGGAGTCCACTCGCCTGTCCTGGGGACACACGTCTCGTTCCCTTGTCCCCATGAGCCTGAGGGTGCTGGGGAAGCAAGTGCTCGCTGAGGGGTGGAACAAGGGGTCCCTGTGCCTGGCTCCCGAGCCAGGCTGGTCACCACCACATTCTTTTGTGACTGTCTCCAAGGGTGTGACACAGAGGAGCTGGTCCTGGTGAGGACATGGGAGTGGGTGCTGAGAAGCAGGGAACTCAGAGCTGGAGGGGCTCTGGGCAGAGCTTGGCAGTCCACCTGGGGGCAGCTGGAATAGATTCATCTGGAGATGCTAGTGGCTGGGGCTGGGGGCTGGGCCTGGCCCTGGAAGGCAGCAGAGCCGAGTGCTACCTCTTCAGGAATTGCACGTGCTGGTTTTCAAATCCTGCTGACAGCATCAAATCATACGAAATTACTATTGAACCGTATTGAAAAGAAAGGTCCTAAATGTTCAAAATGCAAGATTTCCTGATTTCTTGCCTCCTTACAACTCCATGCGCTCTTGAGGTTCTCTGCCTGTCTCCCCCTCAGCGTCAGACACCACGCAAGAGTGCATGGTATAAAGTCGCCACAGAAGCCGGCAAGTGCTGCAGCCGGGGGTCTTCCTTTGGAGAGGTGGTTGTGAGACACGCACCAGAGGCTGCTGACCTCAGTCAGGCCAGGGAGGCACCCTCTGACCACCGGCCGCTGAGCACTGACATGTTGCTGTGGGCCCTGGCATGGGGACAGCCCAAGTGTCCCTGGACTAGCTTGCCAAGCAGTGCCTTGAAATCCTTGGGGAGGTGCTCTGAGGAGCCTCTTAGCCAACAGGATTCCTGTGTGTCAGGCCCAGCAGGAGGTCAGTCATGAGGGGCTGAGAAGGCAAGGGGAGGGCCACCTGAGCCCAGCAGGCCCCAGGCACAACGAGGTGCTGGCCCTTGAGGGCACCGGGAAGCACTGGTGGTCAGTCTGAGCCCACGGGTGGTTGCCAGCCACCCTCCCTGTTCAGTGCTGGGTCTTCGGGCAGGGACCACTCTCAAATCCCAGTCAGGGTTTGGCTAGGGGACGCTGGCGTCATGGAACTACAACTGTGCGGGCAGGTAAACGCAGGGGGCTGCGGGCCTGTGTCTCTCCCGGGAAGCACGGTGCTGAAACCCGAGGAGCCCACTCACTGCGGCTCCAGGAGGAGCCGTTTCTCAACCACATTTGGGAAGAAAAGTGCAGCTTTCTTAAATTCTCCAAGTGCCTGTTTCCTTCCTTTGAAAAGGAGAATGAAAACGGAGTCAGGCGGCTCACGAGCATTCCGAGCGGCAGTGCCGGCCAAGCCCGTGGGAAGTCCCGGGTGTCCGGCTGGCGCTCTGTGAGTTAGAGCTGCCGATATTAATTTTTAATTACTCTTGTTATTATTAAAATGAACTTTGAGACCAGGTCTCTGGAATGGAGCTGGAGAGAAACAAAATCATGTGGATCAGAATCATTTCCAAAGTGCACTTTCCTGTGGGGTGCCAGGCTGGGGCTGGGAGGGGACCCCCGGGGCCTGGTCCTGACGGCCTTGTGCTTCTGAAGTGTCTGTCGATATCTGCGGGCCAGGCAGTCTGGCTCCGGCTTGCTTTGGGCTGAGCTGCACTCAGCCAGAGCTCTTCTGGAGCAGGGAGGGTCACTGTCACGGACACCCAGGGCTATTAGGAGCCCAGGCGGTTGTCCTGCCGAGCTGTGGGGCAGCTCTCTGAGGACAGGCCAGACAGCCTGGGGAGGCCAGGGAAGTGTGAAATGTCAGGGTGGCGTGCAGACGGTGGGGAACGCTCTCATGGTGAGCGAGGCAGCTGTATTGGAGCCCCGGGGAGTCGCGTCTTGGGCTGGGAGGAGTTCTTGGTGCCCCCGGCCCTCCACCTCAGGCCCCGAGAGGGTGAGCGCGAGGCTCACTCATCAAGCAGATGTTCGTGGGCACTCTGAGGCTCCAGGGACAGCGATGCCTCGTGAGCAACAGCAGGAGGACTTCATCCACACGACAGGACTTGTGGGCAGTGAACAGTGATAGTCAGCTGTAGGCCAGTTGGCTTTAAAACCTCGCTCCACTTAAAGGAAATAAAAAAAAAATGATGTCCAAACAGGCCGCTGTCCCTTCAAGCCTCAGTGTCCTTGTCTGTAGACACTGGGGTCGTGAAGGTTTGGCCTCCAGGTCACTGTGAGGGGCAGTGGGATACACAGACCCAACCCAGAACCTATCAGTGCCAGTGGTTGGTGTCATTGCACTGTGATGGGACCTGCCTGTTGTCTGTCCCTGTCACAAGGACACACATGCGCACACAACCAACATACCACATACAGTGGAGTGGTCCTAACGTGTCAAGACACACTGAATCCTCGGGGATGGGTCTTGTTTTCTTGCACCTCTGGCAGCCTTGGGTGGACCACTCTAAATACTCCCCTCCTTCCAACAGTGCCTGCATAGAGGGGGTGGCTTCTGTCACTGCAAAGCTTCCAGGTGGGGG